GGACTCAGGAGGCTAAGATTTGAGGATCACAGTTCAAAACCAGCCCTGGTAGAAAAATCAATGAAGCTCTCTCTCTCTCTCTCTCTCTCTCTCTTTGTCTCTCTCCTCTTCCCCCTTCTCCCCCTGTCTCTTGCCAGTCCTGGGGCATGAACTCAGGGCCTGGGTACTGTCCCTGCACCTCTCTGTGCTCAAGGCTAGCGCATTACCACTTCAGCCAGCTCCACTTTTGGCTTTTTCAAGTCGCTTATTGGAGATAAGAGTCTCACAAGGACTTTTCTGCCCAGGCTGGCTTAGAATCATAATCCTGAGTAGCTAGGATACAGGCATGAGCCACCAGCACAGGTTCAATGAAACTCTTATCTCTAATTAACCAGAAAAAGTGAAGTGGAGCTGTAGCTTAAATGTTAAGAGTGCCAGCATTAAGTGAAAAATCTTAGCATCAGTTCTGGAGTTAAAGCACCGGTACCTATAAGTACCTATAAATAAGTAGATAAATAAATATTACTGAAATGATTCATCTGTTGGGACCCTAAGTATACATTGTTTTTGTTTTATTTTTGGTCCGTGAGCTATTTAGAAGTAGGTTTCGATAAACAGGTGGATAGAGTACTGAGGTTTAAATTCAGGGATTGTTGCAGTAAATGCTCTATAGCTTGATCCATACCCCAAACCCATTTTTATTTAGCTGTTTTTCAGATAGGGTCTCTCCTTATTGCTCATGCTGGCCTTTGACGGGGATCTTCCTTCCTACTTCCTTTTCTGAGTAGCTGGACTTAGAGCTAGAAAACATATGCCCACATGTTAGTTGAGATGGAGTCTGGCTAACCTTTTTCCTCCTAAGTAGCTGGGATTACAAAAATGAGTCACTGAGGATGGCACAAATTTTTTAAAGGTATTCTTTCAAAAATTAATTTCCATCTTAACTGATCTATATTTAGAAAACATTCTGCATAATGATTTTTCTTTTTTAATTTCTTGGGATGGTTTATCATTAGCTCCAACGCAAGATCTTCCTGTTTCTACCTTCCCTGTGCTAGCATCATAGGCATGTGCCCATGATCAGCATACACAGCTATAATGATTCTTTAACTTTTTTTTTTTTGCTGGTAGTGGGGCTTGACCTCTGGGCCTGGGCACTGTCCCTCAGCTCTTCAGCTCACGGCTAGAGTTCTACCACTTGGGCCACAGCGCCACTTCCATTTTTCTGGTGGTTTATTGAGATAAGAGTCTCATGGCCTTTCCTGCCCAGGCTGGCTTTGAACCTCAATCCTCAGATCTCAGCCTCCTGAGTAGCTCGGATTACAGGGCTTTTTTTTTTTTTTGGTCCTGGGTGCTGTCCTGCGCTCTTCAGAGCAAGGTGAGCGCTCTATCACTTGAGCCACAGCGCCACTTCTGGTTTTCTAGTTGTTAATTGGAGATAAGAGTCTCAGGACTGGGCTGGGATGTGGCTCAGTGGCAAAGCGCTTGCCTAGCAAGTGCCACGTCCTGGGTTCAATCCCCAGTACCAAAAAAGAAAAGACCAAAAAAAAAAGAGTCTCAGGGACTTTCCTGTCCAGGCTGGCTTTGAACCTCAATCCTCAGCTCTCAGCCTCCTGAGTAGTTAGGATTACAGGTGTGAGCCACCAGTGCCCAGCTGATTCTTTAACATTTGTTGAAGCTTTCTTTGTAGACTTTCTACGGTCAAAATTTATTTTTCATGTGCATTTGAATATAATCAATATCTTCTATAGTTTTATCTAAGACAAAGAGGATGTGTATATGTATCTATTTGCCAAATTTCTCTCTCTCTGTCTCTCTGTCTCTGTCTCTCTCTTTGTCCAGTTACTAGTGGGGCTTCAATTAATGGTCCCCAACTGGGGCTTCAATTCATGGCTTCCCACTATCACTTGGCTTTGTTGCTCAAAGTTGAGCCAAATCTTCTCTTTCCAATTTTTGCTGGTTACTTAGAGATAAGAGTCTCAGGGACGTATCTTTATGGGCTGCCTTGAACCACAATCTTCAGCTCTCAAATTCTTGATTAGCTAGGATTAGATGGGAGCCACCAATGCCCAGCTACATTTTGCTTTATTTATGATCCGGTTGTGGGGACTGAACTCTGGGCCTGGGCGCTGTCCCTCAGCTCTTCAGCTCAAGGCTAGCGCTATACCACTTGAGCCACAGCACCACTTCCAGCTTTTTTTTTCTTTTTGCTTATGTGGTGCTGGGGAATCGAACCCAGGGCCTCATGCATACAAGGCAAGTGCTCTACCACTGAGCCACCTTCCCAGCCCCTACATTTTGCTTTAAAATCTATTTTGTCTCCAGGAAATGGAAACAAGAGGATTTTTTTCTTCATATGGAAAAATCTATTTTGTCTGAAATTAAAACAGATATTCCAGTTTTCAAAGAAATGAAAGGTTTACCCCATACACCTTTGTTACTTCTCTTAGGCCTCTTTAAATTTATACAATTGTCTGGTTTTTTTTGGGGGGGGGTCAGTTGTGGGGCTTGAACCAGGGCCTGAGCGCTGTCCCTAAGTTCTTTTGCTCAAGGCTAGCGCTCTACCACTTTGAGCCACAGCACCTTCTGGTTTTTTTTTTTTGGGGGGGGGGTCTGGTCGTGGGGCCTGAACTCTGGGCCTGGGTACTGTCCCTCAGCTCTTCAGCTCAAGTGTTCAAGGCTAGCGCTCTAACACTTGAGCCACAGCGCGCCATTTCCAGCTTTTTTCTTTTTGCTTATGTGGTGCTGAGGAATCGAACCCAGGGCCTCAGGCATGCAAGGCAAGCACTCTACCACTGAGACACCTTCCCAGCCCACCTTCTGTTTTTTTTTTTTTATTGTAAAGATACTATACAGAGGGTTACAGTTACATGAGTGAGGTAATGAGTACACTTCCTCTTGAACATTGTTACCCCCTCCATTGTTTTCCCCCTACCATCCCCTCCCTCCCTCCCTTCCCTGAGGTTCTTTTTTTTTTTTTTGATTGTGATTAAGTGATTACATAATTTCAAAGTCACAAGTTCATTCTAACTTCCCTGGAGCAAATTGTCTACCACAGTCTGTAATATATAACAGTGTTCACATGTTATATACCATATTTGTGATCAGCAGCATGGGGATATTTAGTAGTGGTTCAACCAGATGAGTGGGAGTTCTTTGTTTCTTAAGTCCTGTTAGTTTTGTGGTATCACCTAACATTTTGGATTTAGCATCCACTTATCAGGGAGACCATGTACCGTTTGTCTCTTCGTTCTTGGCTTACCTCGCTCAACATGATTCCTTCTAGCTCCATCCATTTCCCTGCAAATACCATTATTTTGTCATTTCTAATGGCTGCATAATATTCCATTGTGTATAGATACCACAATTTTTGGATCCATTCATCTGTGGTGGGGCATCTAGGTTGTTTCCATACCACCTTCTGTTTTTTGAGTAGTTCATTGGAGATGAGTCTCTCAGAGACTTTCCTGCCCAGGATGGCTTGAAACCACAATCCTCAGATCTCAGCAACTAGGATTAGTCACCAGCACCCTGAGAGTTTAATTTCTTTTCTGAGGAAAAGCCATGGTTTTCCCCTCTATTTGTTTTTATTTTTTTAAACAGGTTTCTCATACTGGAGGTGTAGTTAGAGCACCTGCCTAGCAGATATAAGGCTTTGCAAAGAAATAAAACAAAAAACAAAAAACAAAAAAATTTCACATTTTCTATGATTTTAGGAGTAGACTTTATATTTTCTTGCAATTCTAAAGACTTTTTTTTTTTGTTGGTCGTGGGACTTGAACTCTGGGCTTGGGCGCTGTCCCTGAGCTCTTCAACTCAAGGTGAGCGCTCTACCACTTGAGCCACAGAGCCACTTCCGATTTCCTAGTGGTTTTTATTGGAGATAAGAGTCTCATGGACTTTCCTGCCCAGGCTGGCTTTGTTTTTTTTTTTTTTTGGTCCGGTCATGGGGCCTGAACTCTGGGCCTGGGCGCTGTCCCTGAGCTCTTCAGCTCAAGGCTAGCGCTCTACCACTTGAGCTACAGCGCCACTTCCGGCTTTTTTTCATTTTGCTTATGTGGTGCTGAGGAATCGAACCCAGGGCCTCAGGCATGCAAGGCAAGCGCTCTGCCACTGAGCCACCTTCCCAGCCCCCCAGGCTGGCTTTTAACCGTGATCCTCAGATCTCAGCCTCCTGAGTAGCTAGGATTACAGGCGTGAGCCCCGGGTGCCCGGATCACTTTTTTTTGTTTCACTCTGTAGCCTAGGCTGGTTTAAAACCCAATTTCCACTGCTTCCAACCCCCAACACTATACGCATGTGTGTACCACCACCCCAGGTTCACTTCATGGTCTTTATTAATAACCCCGTTTTTTTTTTTTTGTTGCTGTTGTTGTTAGTTGTGGGGCTTAAAATTGAGCCAGGGTGCTGTCCCTGAGCTCTTTTGCTCAAGGCTAGTGCTCTACCACTTTGAGCCAGAGAGCCGCTTCTGGTTTTCTGGTGGTCAATTGGAGATAACAGTCTCATGGCCTTTCCTGCCAGGGCTGGCTTTGAACCGGGATCCTAAGATCTCAGCCTCCTGAATTACGGAGATTCCAGGAGAGAGCCACTGGCACCTGGCACGTAGGATTTGTATTTAAATTGGAGCTGATAGAATCCATGCAAAGTGCGGTGGATCTAGGGGGGGAAAAGGTAAAAATAATAATTGACAGTAGAGATTGTCAGTGAAGCCGTTATGCAAAGAGCCTACAACTTGCAGGGCCTGAAGCTTCCTTTGGAATCAATCCCGGGTCTAAGAAGCGGGCTTCCAAGCTTGCCAGAAGGATGCGGCGCGCAGGTAGCCACCCGGCCACCAACCCCGGCGGCTGAGCGAGCGCTCCGACCTGGGGGCAGTGCGTCTGCGCAGAGGACGTGCGGAGGGGGTGGAGCCTGGGGCGGCCAAGGCGCCTGCGCAGACGGCGCGGCGAGGTGGGGGAGGGCGGTCCGTGTGTGTCTGTGTTGTTGTTCGGCGGCGGCGGCGGCAGCGGCAGCGGCGGCGGCGGTAAGATGGCTGCCCACGGGGGCTCCGCAGCGTCGTCGGCGCTGAAGGGGTTAATTCAGCAGTTCACCGCCATCACCGGTAAGAGACGCGGTTACCGGAAGATGGACAGTGGGGTCAGGGCTGGGTCGGCCGGGCTGTCCCGGCTTCCTCTTACCTTCACGCTTTCATCCCTCGGGCTTTCCCCACCGCTCCCGTCCTCCCTCCGGGGAGGAGGCGACGACGACGTCGGGGTCTGGGGTTCAGGCGGGAGGCAGCCCTCCCCGCCTCCGAGTCCCCTGGCTCCTCGTTCTCGGTCTCCTCGCAGTTTAGAGGCAGATCCCCCACGCCCCCTGCCAGCCCGGACCCGGGGCTGGGCCGGGCCCGCCCGCTCCCGCCGGCCGGGGGGGACCTGGGGGCGGGAGGAGTGGGGGGCCGCACCCGGCCACCGCCCTCCTCCATCACCTTCTCTTCTCCCTGCAGCCCCCCGAGAAGCGGGTGTGCGTGTGAGCCCTCACCCCTCTTTCTTCCCCGGCCAGGTCAGCCCCCTCCCCCCGTCCCTGGCCTGCCCTTCTGCTTCCTGGGCCCCTCGGAGCCTCGGCGGGGGCCCTCGCGTGTCCGCGCTCTCCCGCTTTAACGGCGAGCCCGGTGGGTTGGGCAGCGCCTTTTGCACATCCCGGGGAGAGAGGAGGGGGGGGGGGGGAGACGACAGATCTCGGAAAACGCGGGTGCCCAGGAGCACCGTAGGGAGAACGGAGGCTTCACGAGAAGAATGAAGGGGGAACCCCCAGGCTTGACGGGGAAAGGCCTAGAGGAAACCTGCCTGGCGTTTCCCACCTTCCCATAATAAAACCATCAAGACCGAGACCATGGCGCCCGAGCGTTCTGATAAAATAAGGATGGCGGTCGAAACTTCTCTGAGAGAAACCTGTTTCTGGGCATCGGTGGACACCCCCCCCCCCCCAAATCTTAGGCCTGTGTTTTTCCATCTCTTTGGACCCCGGAGAAGGGCACACGCCGATCTTACCGCCTGGAGGAAAGGCCCTGAGCCATTCCTGTGAATGCGCTCGGTCTTGTTTCTCTCCGACGGCGCTGAACTTTTTTTGCATGAGTTATTAGAGGGCGGAGCAAATGATGAAGTTCTCTGGAGTGATTTGAGAGGAGAGTACTCCATGTGCCTGAGTGTAATTTTGCCGTTCTAATTTTGTCATGTTGAAAAGAGGTCAGAAAGTTAGTTCCCTCTCCTTACTCTATACTTTTCCCTAGTAGTAGTAATTTGCAAGATGCAAAGAATATTTCCAGTGAATGTTTTTTTTGAAGAGTGTGACAGGAGCGAGAGCTGGTTGTAGTATTTTAACCAATATCTGATGTTTGCAAGTTACCCTTTTGTAATGAACGGTGGTTTTAGTTTTTGCTCCGAAGTGATGACTTTGGATAGATAGATGTTTGGTGCATTGATTGTAGTCTTCCGGCACAAAAATGTAAGTAAAAGTTACAATAGAAATTAAGGTGACAGATAAAATGATAGTAAGCGTTGTAATTGTCCTTAACATGTATCGTATTTTCCAGTATCTAAATCATTGTTATGGAAAATATTAGGTTATTGTGTGTATAAGTTAATAAGTTTATATAGAAAAATCGTTTAGTGAGTGACACAAAAGTAAATGTTATTAAGCCTTTCTTTGAGTTGCCTATGGTTTAATGCCACATAATTTCAGTTTCTATGCCAACTGCTACCCTTCATAAATTCACCTTATTCTAACCTCACATTATTTCCTCTAAAACAATGTGTTTTGGGCTCTTATTTTTTCACACCTGGAGTGTGAAGGGGTGCATAGATTTAGTTTGTTGCTTTAATTGTTTCTGTCTGTTAGTGTAAGAGCTTGTTTCCTAGTCTGTCACCTGTATTACTGGATCATTATCCCTCAGTGGACAATGATGTTTAAACGTCTATAGAAGGGAAAATTCCTTTGACTGTTCTTGATGTGCTATGAGTTTCCCCTACCCCTCTCTGTGTGTACTCTCCTTTTTCTTTTTTTTTTTGGGTCCGGTCGTGGAGCCTGAACTCTGGGCCTGGGCGCTGTCCCTCAGCTCTTCAGCTCAAGGCTAGCGCTCTACCACTTGAGCCACAGCACCACTTCCGGCTTTTTTCTTTTTGCTTATGTAGTACTGAGGAATTGAACCCAGGGCCTCACACGTGCAAGGCAAGTGCTCTACCACTGAGCCACCTTCCCAGCCCCTACTTTTTTTTTTTTGGGTCAGTTGTGGGGCTTGAACTCTGGGCCTGGACACTGTCCCTCAGCTCTTCAGCTCCAGGCAAGTGCCTTACCACTTGGGCCACAGTTCCGTTTCCTTTTTTTTTTTTTTTCTGCTTATGTGGTGCCGAGGAATCGAACCCAGGGCCTCATGCATGCAAGGCAAGCACTCTACCACTGAGCCAACTTCCCAGCCCCTATGGAGCTTTTTTGCTCACAGATAGCACTCTACCACTTGTGCCACAGCTCCACTTCAGACTCTTTGGTAGGTAATTAGAGATGAACCTCATGGGTTTTCCTGCTGCTGCTGGCTTTGAACCAGGATCCTCAGGTCACAGCCTCCTGACTAGCCAGGCATGAGCCATCAGCGCCTGGCTAAGTTTTTTTATTTTTGTATGTGTGAGGTAAGGATTGAATCAGTGCCTCAAGAATGAATGCTAAACACATATTTTACCGTTAAGCTACGTCTATTGATAATTTTTTTTTTTTTTGGGCTATGGGGCCTGAACTCTGGGCCTGGGCACTGTCCCTCAGCTCTTCAGCTCAAGGATAGTGCTCTATCTCTTGAGCCACAGCGCCACTTCCAGCTTTTTCTGCTTATGTGGTGCTGAGGAATCGAACCCAGGGCCTCATGCATGCAAGGCAAGCACTCTACCATTGAGCCACCTTCCCAACCCCTATTGATAATTTTTTAAATAGCATTTTTTAAATAGACATACAGGATTAAGCTGGGCACTATGCTGTGCAGCTGTAGTCTCAGTTAAGGTACATGGATTGCTTGAGCCTTGGAGTTCAAAGTCAACCTGGGCAACATAGTGGATTCTATCTAAAAAGAAAGGAAAGAAAGAACGAATGAATAAAAGAAAGATACGTATTGGGTACTGGTTGCTCATACCTGTAATTATAGCTGCTCAGGAGGTTGAGATCTGAGGATCATGATTTGAAGTTAGCTTGAGCAAAAAAGTCTGTGAACCTCTTAATTTCCAATTAACCAACAAAAAGCTAGAAGTGGAGGTATGGTTCAAGTAGCAGAATAGCAGCCTTCAGTGAAAAAGCTGAAGGACAAGCTGGGCGCCAGTAGCTCACACTTGTAATCCTAGTAACTCAGGAGGCTGAGATCTGAGGATCATGATTCAAAGCCAGCCTTGGCAACCAGAAAACTGGGAATAGCACTGTGGCCCAAGTGGTAGAGTGCTAGCTTTGAAATGCTCAGGACAGTGCCCAGTCCCAGAGCTCAAGCTCCAGGACCAACCAAAAAAAAAAAAAAAAAAAAAGAAATTTTAGCTGGCCGTGGTGGTGAACGCGGTAATCAAGAAAGAAATTTGAGAGCCTGGGTATGGTGGTATGCACCTGTTATTCCAGCTACAAAGGAGGGAGAGATGGAAGGATAGAGGTCTGAGCTTCCCTGGGTTTAAATGGAAGACCTTATCTTAAAAAAAAAAATGAACTAAAGCAGAAAAGACTGGGAATATGACTCAAGAGTCATATTCGATCTTGCCTAGCAGGCTTGAGGCCCCAAGTTAAAACCCCAGGGCGCTCTCTCTCTCTCTCTCTCTCTCTCTCTCTCTCTCTCTCTCTCTCTCTCTCTCTCTCTCTCTCACACACACACACACACACACACACACGAGCAGGCTTGAGGCCCCAAGTTAAAACCCCAGGGCGCTCTCTCTCTCTCTCTCTCTCTCTCTCTCTCTCTCTCTCACACACACACACACACACACACACACACACACACACACACACACACACACACACACACGAGCAGGCTTGAGGCCCCAAGTTAAAACCCCAGGGCTCGCTCTCTCTCTCTCTCTCTCTCTCTCTCTCTCTCTCTCTCTCTCTCTCTCTCTCTCTCTCTCTCTCTTTCTCTCTCACACACACACACACACACACACACACACACACGAGAAAATAAAAAGAAAAAGGCAGAGATTTGCCTGGGTGCTGTCTCTGAAGTTTTTTGCTTTACCACTTTAAGCCACAGCCCCACTCTGATTTTTATGTGGTTAGTTAGAGATGAGATTCTCATGGCCTTTCCTGCCCAGGATAGCTTTGAATCCCAGTCCACATCAGCCTCCTGAGTGGCTGGGATTAAAGGCATGAGCCACCAGCTCCCCACTCTGTGAGATGCTTTATCTCCAATTAACTACCAAAACTGGAACTAGAGCTGTGGCTTAAAGTGGTAGAGCACTAGCCTTGAAAAAAAGCTCAGGGACAGACCCTGAATTCAAGTCCCAGGACTAACACACTCAAAAAAGATGAGCCAGGCTGGGAAGGTGGCTCAGTGGTAAAGCATTTGCCTTGTATGCTTGAGGTCCTGAGTTCGATTCCTCAGCACCACATAAAGCAGGAAAAAAAAAGCCGGAAGTGGCGCTGTGGCTCAAGTGGTAGAGTGCTAGCCTTGAGCTGAAGAGCTGAGGGACAGCACCCAGGCCCAGAGTTCAGGCCCCATGACCGGACCCTCCCCCCCCTCCCAAAAAAAAAAAAGATGAGCCTTACATTTTCTGTAGCATTTACCAATAGAAGAGAAAATAGAAACTTATTTATTTGGGGGTGCTGATATTTGAACTCAAAGCTTTTTACATTTAGCTAGACAAGCACTCTACCATTTAAGCCACACCCCTCTCAACCCTTTTTTGTTTTCATTATTTCTCAGATAAGGTCTCAAGTTTACATCCAGGCCATCATGGACCTTCATCCTATTTGAGTAGTTGAGATTAGAGATGAATGCTAATATGCCCAATTTTTTTTTTCTTGTAAATTGATTGGGATGAAATTCAAGAACTATTTTATCTAGGCTGCCTTATAACCTAGTCTTTTCCTCCGGAGTAGCTGGAATTAACTTCT